GTGTCCCTTAGAGACTATTTTTTTTTATTTATAGATTTAGTAACACATTCATTCTTTAAAATTTGGAGAAAAAGGAGAGAAGCTTCCTATCCTGAAGAAACAGCTTTTGGTGTATATTGTTTTAGATTTCTGTTTCCCAGAATATGTAACTTTGTGTATGGATTTAATTATTTTATACACACTAATTTGCCACTTACATGCCAAAATGTCTCCTACTTTAAATGACGGGAAAATTCCGTGATTTGCAGGTAAATAAATGACTTAAACACGTCCCTGTTGTTTGTGTGCATTGTTCTCGTCTGCTTTGATGCATAAGATGTTTGCACGGCATCCTATTATTTCTGTAGGATGCTCCATAGTGGAATTACTGCTTTGTTCTCACCCCAGCGCACTCTGACCAGCCCTACAGTACCCCCCTCCTTCCTCTTTCTAGAACATTCCAGACGTGCTCCTGGAATTTCCCAGTTGTTGGTCCCTCCCCCTGGCCTGCCCTTGCCCCACATGGCCGCAAGTCTTGCTTCTTCAGTTCCTCAGACTTTCAGCTTTTCCTCAAGACTTCTCTGCTTCTCTCTATAACGCTCTGATCATCTTTTTACATTTGTGCATTATGTGTCTTCTCTCACTGAAATGTAACTTGCCTGGATAAGGGTTTTTGCTGGTTTTGTTCACTTCTGCATGCCTGGTACTAGAACCGTACCTGGCATGGAGCATGCACTTAATACGCGCTTTTCAGTGATTGAATATGTGAATGAGCAAATGGCTAGTGGAGAGTAGACACCTTCTTAAAGATTTTGACACATTGCGCAATTGGCATCTGCAGCGGTTTTTTGAGTTCTATGCCAACCAGAAATGCATAAAAGCACCTGTTTTCCAACAGACTTTGCAGTGGTAGATTCTTACTATTATCTTTCATTTTGCCAGTCAGGTAAATGGCAAAGATGATATTCTATTGCTAATGGTATTTTTGAAGATTGTACAATTTTTTTTCCATATTCACTCAGCGTAGAGGAGCAGCTCTTACTCTCTGTGTCTAAACCACCATGATTATATGAGGTGGTCATGATTCATTTGCTGGTGCTGAGGAGGATCCTAACTTCCTGTAGGAACTGGATAAACTCAGGATTCTGTTAGCAAATGAGAAGCTGGAGGTTGGCTCTTGGGAGCTGGTCGTGATGTATCCCACATGCTGAATTAGCTCTTGATTGATTGACTAGTGCCTTATCTTTTAAAATGGAGCAAAGGTGCTACACCTTCAAATAATTTTTATTGAAATAATTTATGATCATTATTGAAAACTTGGAAAATACAAAGAGATAGAAGAAAAAAATATCCACAAGTCCCACCATCCAGATAACTATGTTGATATTTACCATTACTAAGTTTTCCTTACATTTCCTCTGGTCTTTTTCTTTGCATACTTTTATATAAATTTGATAATTCTATACATGTTTGTGCCAGGCAGTCTTTCCATCTAAACCTATAGCAATAATATTTTCATACATATATATATATATATATTTTTTACAAACTATGTGCAATTTCCCCTATGATTCACATGGACCTTGGATGAGTTTCCTATCCCTTCTGATTTGGGGATGTAAAGTGGTCTCCATCCCCAGAATTACCAATAATAATGCCGTTGTAGCTTAATGTAGGATACTTTTTCAGCTTTTAGGATTGTTTTTAAATTGTTGTGAAATTGTTGTCAAAGCTCGTAAAGATTTTTACTGCCACATTGTTTTCTAAAAGGATTATCCACTTGCAGGACCAATAGTAATGTTTGCAAGTGGGGCTGTTTTGTGTCAATTAATTTGTATCACAAGGAAATGGGTCATGGACCTGTTCTCTTTTGGACCCGTAACAGTTGGAACTTCGTTCAGAATAAACACTGATAAAGCTCCAGTGGCCACGGTTCAGCAGTCCCCTGGGGCAGCTTGTTGCAGACTTTAATAGCCCCAGGGGTTTTGATTTCCTTTTATTTTCTTTTCCCCTCTGCTATTTTCCTCTCTCCTGGGTTTACAACATGTTTTTCTAGCCACAGTTAAGCCTCAGTACTTCTTGTTCTGTCTTTGTTGATTAATGAGTATAATTGACCCCTGTTGTCTCTATTATACAAACCAGAGCAATTTGTTTTTATGTAACAGTTATATTCTGGGCTGTCACAAAACTGCCTTACAAAGAGCGAGCTCATTATCAGCCTGAAGGAAAAGAGTTTTAAGTGATGAAGTGAATAAAGGTCCCCAAGAGGAGGAGGAGAAGTCTAGGCTGTTCAGATGTTCAAGGAAATGAAGAGCTCTGGGGGCAAAATCATCCATTGTTGCATAGGTACCCAGCAAGACTTGGTTATATCTTAAAATTATTAGATTAAAAATGGCTCCCCATAGAGAGAGTCTGGAAGACTGGATATAGAAGGGTTGAATGTAGGTCTAAGAAACCATAGAGCATGATATTTGATGGAGTGGGTTGAAGCCCCTGGGAAGTTCATGGTTATAAACATGATTATAGAAAAGCCCAGCTAAATGCCTCTGTAGGGGGAGTAGAGGTGACTTCTATGTTAGAAAGTTTTATCTGACCATAAAGAATACCTAGATTTCCATGGTATATCAGAAAGTGGCTTGTTATTCATCTATATTTTTTTTTCCTATTTCCCTTCTTCCCCCATGATCTTGATGAAATTTTTGTCAGCTCACGAAAGTAACTAAGCAGCAGAGGTCCAGGGAAGAGACATCGAAACGGAATGAGATCTTGGCCTTAGCGAAGTCAGTCTGCCACAATCCTAAACAAGTGGGGTCCTTCTGTTGCAGGATTCATCTTCAGCTGTTCCATGGAGAGCTTTTAGGAATTACCTTGTTTCATAAGCTTTTTTTATCTACCCTGCCACACTTTTTTCATAGGAGAAGAGGAAGGAATTAACCACAGAAGGAAGGGGAAAAAATCCTTAAGTAGCCACAGTGAAATAATGAATAATGGTGACTGAATTACGAAATGCAACAGCTAGAGGTGCCTTAAAGATCTTCCCTTTGTTTTGTGAATAAGGGAAGTCAAGCACAGAAGATTCCATTTGCTTTCGCCTTGTTTCACCCAGTTCCTGGTAGAGCTGGCTCTAAAATCCCAGATGTCCTCCTTTTATACGGTGCGTAGATTCTCAGCATTTTGAGCTGTCTTTTGGCAAATTCTTCTGTTCTTACACATTAAGGTAAAGATTTGATCCAAAACAGCTCCAGAGAAACCATTCTCAAAGTGTAGGTTTTATTAATTGTAAAGAAACTTGCATTATCTTGTCTAAAACATGTTTTGTTTATAAGTGTTCAGAAAAAAGTTGGTTTGGTCCCTTCCAGAAACCTCTGTTGAGGGGGTCCCTTCTAGAAACCCCTACCAGAAATCTCCATCTGGCTCTGGAGAGAGGGGTTTGGGGGCAAGGACAGGTGGAAAAACTTTCAGAATCTCTTTGAAACTCTCTGGAAAGAGTACAGCATCTCAAAACTATAAGACTTTTTGTCTCCTTGTTGGAAAGAAATGAGTTGTCGTCAGCCTTTATAGAATGACAGGCATGTCTTAGGAAGAAAGGGGGGTACTTCTGCCACTGATCGTCAGCAGGGGATGGGAGGGCCAAGGGTCAGGCCCTGGGCCAGAGGAGGACAGGTGCCTTCTTGGTTAACCCCATTCCCATCTTCTGAAGAAACTGGGTAGATTGAGCTTCTTTAATGAAAAGAAAATACTACCTTGTACTTGGGAGTACAAATGGAGGTAGGAGGCAACTGGTATCTTGACTTTCTTCAAAGAAGAATTTCTGGAGTCACTCTGCAGCTGTGGGATTTAGTAACTACAAGTCCCCATGTTAAGTGAATTTGCAGCTGTAGGATTTACGATGATATGGGGAAGAGAAAATGGAGACTTGGCTCAAAAACATACTTAAGAACTCCCTTGTGGATTTATTTTCCATTAAACCCATCAAGAGAGAACACTCAAGTGAAGGTTATGGTGACATTTTACAGTTTCCGTTTATCCCAATTGGTACTACACTCTTCGCTTTCATTGCTGTCCTTTGTTCACGGGAAATGCAAATGACACTCATAGGAAGAGGTGTTGTGCTATCCAGCTTAAACCGTATACCCAGTGCTGTGCTTATTTTATGATTTGGAACCGTTTTCTCTTCCCACGACCTTCCCAAGACCTTCTCCCATGTCTTGTCATGGTGGTCATGACGGATATACTCTTAATTGTGCCCCTCCTGCCACGTGAAATGAATAAAGAAGGGCAAAAAACCAACTGTGGTAAGATCTGTATTGCATTAAGTTTAGTATGTAGGAATAAATGTTTCTCGAACCCTTCCCTCCGTGTCTCTGATGTGTCCCCAGAGCCTCACCCCGAGAGGCCCGTCTTTGCCGATTTCTCGATTTCCTTCCTCCTCCGCAGTGTGATCCTAAAGCAGGACTGCTGTTGCCCCTTGTGCCTTTCGAGGCTTTCTCGGGAAAGCCTCAACTCCTTGTTCCCTATTGGTTCTACCTTCTGTTACTCTTTCAAAAACCATCCCCCGGGTGGTGTTTTCCAGTAAAGTCTCATGGTTTCCACGAAGATATTGAGAAGCAAGTTCACGTGAGCTCAGGATTTACGTGGAGGGAGGTATTCCTGTATATTTCTGCAAATGCATTGTGCGGTTGTGTGGTGTATAATATCCTGTCTCGCAGGTTCTCCTCCAAAGCAGATCTGTCCCCCCTCCCCCGGCATGTGCTGATGTGGGTAAATTCCACCCTTTACTTAGTTTCAGGCCCCACATTATGATAATGATGGTATACCTTATCAGAATTTAGTACTTTACATTTTCCCACATGCTCCTTAGGAAATCTGACATGCTGGCCGGAATAGGAGAGGACTTCACCGTTTGGGGCCCTATTCTTGGACCGCTTATTATTTTAATCAGTGACACACTCTAAAGCTGTTCATTTGTTCTGAGCTTTAGCCTGAGGAACGCTGTTTTGTCTGTGTTTCATCCTGTACAGGTTACTCTGGCCAGGACTTCGACTGGGCAGATTATCACAAGCAGCATGGGACAGAAGAAGCACCTCCCTTCTGCTTCAGAAATGTAAGGAGCTTGGTTCTTGCGACTCCTTTTATCCTAGATTGTTCACCGTAATTTTTGTAAGTTGCTTTCTATTCCTGAGCAAGATGAGAGTGCTGCTGTGTGCCACAGGATCGTAAAGCTTTTGTAGTTTTGAAAAAGTGCTCTTTCAGGTTGTGTATCAGTGTGACTCTGGGCCGTAGTAACAGATCCACCACTAAATGTATGGTGGTTCTGGATAAGGTCAGTCAGTTCTCACTTACGGAAGGGTCCAGTCTGTTCCTGATGAGTGCATGCCTCCGGTGAGCCTTTGGCTTCATCATCTGAATCTAGTGAGCAGGTAAGGAAAGGGGTGAAGGGGAAGCTAGTCTTACTTCTAAACACTGTAGCTGATATTGACATGTTACTCCATTCACCTTCCATTGGTGAGACCCAGTCCCTCGGCCACACCTGCCATGAATGAGGCTAGGAAATGTGCCATGGCCGACTGGCTTTTTGCAGCCAAGAGTCCATACTAAGTCAGCCAGAAGTCCATACTATAGAGAAAGGAGGACACGTTACATAGGCACTTGCTGTGTGAAGTATACTGTTGATAAACCCATTGATAGGAGATTCTCTGCTCTTGAGGTATATTCTCAATATATATGATCATCAACTTCTTTTCCTGGATTACTTCAATAAGATGCTAGTCCAGCAGTTCTCTGCTTTGCTTACTTTAAGCCACTCCCTGGTTCAAATAGAGCTGTTGGCCTGATGGCACGTAAAAGAGCACTGTTGTGAGTCTGTGTGTGTGTGTGTTCACACACGTGTACTTGTTTAGTTATAGGAGTTGGTTGTATAAAGTCGCTTATAAATTATTCATTGAAACCTTATCAACCCTAGGAACTATGAAAAGGGATCTGGATTATTATTTCTGTTTTGAGAATGAGGCGTAAATATATAGCCTCCTGTGTTAAACATGCATTTAGTTATGAAAGTTAATTCTTTATGCTAAAAAATAAAAGACTCAGTCCTCCAGTCGGGGACTGCAGGTGGTACAGTGTGGACAGCCCCCCAATCAGAGACTTTTTCTGGACATGTGCTCCTAGAGCTGCTGATTCCTTGACTCCCCCCTTTTAATTTGTACTACGGGGCTAACAGCGGACGAGAACTAAGAGGGAGAGGGGTTGGCTTCATAGAGAAGCTCAATAGTGAGCATAAGTCAGAGGTGGATTTTGAAGAATGAAGTAGGTTGATCAGCGGGCCAGCTTGTACTTACATATGTGGAAACACATCAGCGGCAGAGTTGGAAAGCAGGGCTCCTGAAATGACCAAAGGGACTTTCTTCTGGCTGACACTGCGTTTGCACAAAGGTGGTTTTTCTGCAGTGTGGCAAGATCTGTGTGGTGAGTTGAGGTGGTAGCACGGAGACACTGTGGAGGCATGCCACCATGAGGATAGCCGCGGGTCAGCTCCCGGGGCTTATCAAGTCCCAGTGCGTCTGCCTAGACTTTTTACCATAGTGACATCACTCGTCACAGAGTCCTGGCCTCGTTGCCTTTCACTTAGGATCGTGGAAATACTTATCAAAACATCCCCCAACTCCTCTGGAGTTGTGCTTTCTACCTGACAAAAGAAATACTCCTTCCCTGCCTCTCCAGCCTTGGGAGGGAGGAGAATCCTGACGTGTCCCCTAGTTTTGGAGGTGGGGAGTTGTTTCTTCTCTGACAACACAGTTCCACCACAGCTGCTTTCCATCCGTCCATCTTCTGCTCCCGTTCCGTCAGCAGCTGGCTATGTGCAATTTAATTGTGGAGCAAGCAGCCACATCCCCAGGTGGCCTCTGAGCTTTCAGGATTTAGCTACCAAGATGAAATCTCTTTTAATGAATATGCTGGCATATTCATTAGGAATGCACTTGTTACAAATATGGCCCGCTTTGTTTCTGGCCCTCCGTTTATTTAATCGACAGGATTGTTATCTGCCTGTAGGCATGTGCATTGCATTACCGGTGCTTTGCTGAATTTTGTTAGCTCGCTACAAGTGCTCTTTAATGGAATGCTTATTATGAATTCATTTTTTTAATCACACATCTTGTGTGTACTAGAGGAGGGGTGGTGTGGAAGTGGATTTCCCAGGGGATGTTTAACAATCAGAGGCAGTGCTGAAATGGATTGACACAGCCAAATGCTTAGTAAAATAAACTCACAGGTAACAGTTTTGCTATTGATCTTTATAAATTACCCTCAAGCAGTGAGTTGAAACGAAAATATGTTATGCGGTTGTGGCTTTCCCTTATTAAGTAGGATAAAATGCATTTTGACTTACTTAGAGGCTTTTCAGGCAGCCTATCGAGTCATATTATCAAAAAGGAGCTCAATACGTAATATGTGTGGATGAGGCAGGATGACTTGCAGAAAAATAACCCACCTAGAATGTCTGTGTTTCCTATTTCCAAAGAACCATAAAGGAAAAGTGCAAATTGCTTTCTCAACATACACTGGATAATTTTGTTCTGGTTAGATAAAGGTGTAATTGCATTTGCAACTTAACCTGTATAAAAAGAGATGTGAATGTGAATAACCTTAGTGTCTTCCCATGGGTCACGTAAGGATGTAATTGCTGTTATTTACAGGAACCTGTTAATCTCAGTTTATTTATTTCAAAATAGATATATTATAGTAATGTAATGTCTGGTTGAAATTTATAGTAGTGGATGATTTTGGAAAATTTTATATTTATTTAAAAATAATGCTAGGAGGGAGTTTTGCTTTTAGTATTGGCTGAGCTCATGCTGAATTGATCCTCTGGCAAATAGCAACTATAGACTCTGGACAGGATACCAAAACAACTACCTTGGGTGTGTGGAGAATGAACAGAAGTGAGCAGATCTGAAGGGGAGCAGATGCTTGGAAGGAACATTATGGGGTGATTGTGTGATTTTTCGTTTCAGACTTTTTTTGACAGTTGACAGTGTATGAGATGACAAAACCAGTAATATAAAAATTACAGTCTTTCTGGCCTGATGAACCAGATAATGGAATTTGGGCAACTGCAACTGTTGGAAAGTGAGAAGAGTCTCAGATGGGGAAGAGCCAGGCGAGGGAAGCACAGATTCTGTGTATAAACTCTGCTTAAATTTTTGGCTGATCCTTGGATTGTGTATTTTCCAGGCAAACTTCCAGGCAGCCTAGTTAAGGACGGAAGACTGAGCTGAGGTTTGAGCTCCTTCTCAGGAGACAGAGTGTGTAGTTTGAGTCCAGACAAGTTAATTGCTTGCTTAAAACAGAAAACCACACTCTTGGGAAGAACATAACACAATCCAGAGTCTCTACCACATAACATTTTAAACATCCAGACTTCACAGTTGCTTAGCCCATGAAGAAATGTGAAAATTCTCAGTAGAAAAGATAATCAACAGAGACGAAACCCAACATGACCCAGATGTTGGAAGTAGAAGACACGTATTTTAAAGCTCCCATTAAAACTAAGCTCGGTCCAAAGCAGTGATTCCCAAAGTGTGGTCCTTAGGCCAGCAGCTCCAGCATCACCTGGGAACTTGTTGGAAATACAAATTCTGTGGCCTTACCTCAAATCAAATGAATCACAAACTTTGGGGTAGGGCACAGCAGTCCATTTTTAAAAGGTTCTCCAGGTGATTCAGATGTACCCTAACATTTGAGAAGGAAAATATGAATGAGAAGGTAGGAAGTGCCAGAAGAGAAGTAGAAGGTGTAAAAAAGAGAAATTCTAGGACTGAAAAATAAAATACCTAAAATAAGCAAATTCATTGGAAGGGCTTCCTAGCAGAATGGAGGTGACAGGGGAAGGAGTTGATGATTTTGATCCTATCTGAAGAACCGAGAGAAAAAGAAGCTTGAGTGTGGGGAATGAGAACAGAATCTCAGGGACCTGAGGGATGATATCATGTGTAGTTGGAGACCCAGAAGAAATGGCCACAGAGACTGTGGAAGAAAAAATATATGAAGAAACAATGCCCAAAAGTTACCAGAGTAGCTGGAAATACTAAATGCACAGGTTCAGGAACCTCTGTGGGCGCCAAGTTTGTATAAATACGAAGAAGCCCAACCTAGTCAAACTGCTCATAACCAGACATAAAGAGAAAAATGTTGAAAGCATCCAGAGAGAAAATGATAGATTCCAAAGAGAGGAACAACAGTTTGAATGACAGTGAACTTCACATCATAGACAGGGACACCAGAAGACAGCAAACCACTGTTTTTAGAGTACTGAAAGAAATAAACCACCAAAGCTAATGCTTCCTGAGTGAAGAAACAGACACTTCACCATGGAAAATAGACAAATGACAAAGAAACGTGTGAAAAAATGCTCAACGTCATTAGCAGTAGGGAAGATGCAAGTTAAAGCTGTGATTAGCGAACATGGGACACCTATTAAGATATTAAAATTGGAAAACGTGGCAATACCAAGTGCTGGTGAGGATGTTTAGCCACTGGAATGTTGCACGCTGCTGATGGAAATGAAATGTGATATATGGAAACTAATTTGGTGGTTTCCTAGGAAGTTAAACATACATTTACCATGTGGTCCAGCAATTCCATATTTAGAGAAATGAAAGCTGCGTTATAGGCTGCATTGTATTCCCCCCAAATTCATACAATGAAAGTCCTAGCCCGTAGTACCTCACAATGTGACTGTATTTGGAGTTAGAGTTTTTGAAGAGATAATTAAGGTAAGGTGAGGCCATATGGGTAGGCCTTAATCCATCCAGTATGATTGGTGTCCATATGAGACGTGATAATTAGGACGCAGACTGTGTACATGGAGGAAAGACTGTTTGGAGACAGAAAAGGTGGCTGTCTCAAGCCAAGGAGAGCGTCCTCAGAAGAAACCAACCCTGCTGACGCCTTGATCTCAGACTTCCAGCCTCTGGAACAGCGAGACAAATTTTTATTGTTAAAGCCACCCAGTGTGTGTTATTTTGTTAGGGCATTCATTACAAGCAGACTAATAGACTCTGTTCACACAAAAACTTGTGCTTGAATGCTTATAGCGGCTTTATTCACAATCACCAGAAATGAGACACAGCTCGAATGTCCTTCAACTGGTAAGTGGACGGGACTGTGGCATAGCTGTAGAAACTACTCAGCAGTAAAATAGAACGAACTACCCGTTTGTGCAGTAGCATGGATGAATCCCAAATGCATTTTGCTTCAGTGGAAGAAGCAAGACTGCACAGTGTATGGATCCATTGATGTGATCTCATGGAAAAAAGCAAAACTCTAGGAACAGAAGACAGGTCCATGGTCCTGAAATTGGGAGTCTGGGAGGGATTGATCATCAAAGATCCAGTGCAAAGGTGTTTTGGAGGTGAAGGGACTGCTCTGCGTGCTGATTGAGGTTATGGCCGCAAGACTGTATGCGTTTTCTCTAACAGCCGACCTTCAGGGAACAGGGCAGCAAAAAGAATGAATGTTCCTATGTGTAAATTTTTTAAAAAGTGAATTGAGAAAGTAAATAAAAGCCAAAAACCACAAATGTAAAATAAAGACAATTTTCAGGTAAAACTATGGGAATTCGCCACCAGCAGACCTGCTAAGGAATGTTTTTCAGGCCGAAGGAAATGATGCCAGATGGAGACTCAGGCCGACTCCTCACACCCATGGATATGCCCAGGCGCGCTGCGAGTGAGGAATACAGGGAAGGAAGAAGACATGATGTGCACCTCTGTGACTGTGTGGAAGTCAGGGCGCATGCAGGACTGGCAAGAGAACGTATCCTCTCCTTCAACAGATAGTAGTAGGCATCTGCTTTGTACCAGCAGAGCTGTAATTCTGGGATCAAGGGAGGTCATGGTTCTTTTCCGACCAATGGTGGGAAAGCCCGTTTGTCTGATGGATGAGCTCTCTGCCGGTGCGCGCGTGCCCGGGCATCCCCGCTTCGCCCGCAGGCCACTCTGTTGCTGCACCTGCTGCATTGTCCTCTGGCTCAGTGTCCGTTCTCTCTCTCTTTCAGACATCATTCAGTCGGGGTTTCACGAAGAACATGAAACTTGAAGCCGTCAACCCCAGGAACCCAGGAGAGCTCTGCGTGGCCTCTGTTGTCAGTGTGAAGGGGAGGCTGATGTGGCTTCACCTGGAAGGTACGCTGGGTTCACAGCTGTCCTGGAGAGCTTACGGTCCGTCTGGAAATGGCAGGGTACACGTGGTGCTTCTCCAAAATAACCCCTTCTGCTTTCTTTTCATTTAAACAGATCTTAAATTATTCAGTGTTCTTAAATAAGCGAAACTAATCAAATACAAATTTGTTCAGAGGCTCTCATCTTAACTAATAATTTCATGAAATGAGATACTGGTGTGATAATTATGTTTGGAACACAGTGGTCTTTTTACATCTATGATTATAAAAGCTAATGCCACAATTAAATTAATACGAGTCACTAAAACTGGTATTTGAGGTCTTGGTTATTATGAGGATAAAATTATATATTTGCATTTTAATGTGAATAACACCCTTTACTTTGGTTTCTTCCGTAGATGTTTAATTTTACCTTGAAATAGTCACTGGAGATGACTTTCTCCCCAAATATATATATTATACACAAGATTTGTTTGTTTAATGATGTTTAAACTCTCTTTTATAGCTCCTTTTTTTTAATAATTGTGCAGATAATTCAGAGAACATTATACTTTATAAGCGGAACCATGATGAGATTTTACATTGAGATAGAACACTGTATTTTTATATGTTATATTTTCAAGTGAGAAAGAAGTCTGATCTGTAAGATTTTCCCATTTTTCCGTGATCTAAATTTTTTGGGTTTGTTTGTTTATCTTCATGACATTCATTAATTATTTTAAATGTATATGAAAAAACAAGACTGGTTATAAATAATAAAGTTAGCTCTCTTGGCCCATATGTTAGCCATCATGGCATGCTCCTACCACCATTGGAACGGAAAGTTTGCAAGGTCATAGAAGTGCTGATCTCATCATCCTGTCTCTTTAGGAAGCAAGTGTAAGAAGCATCAAAAGTTCTTTTTTTTCTTGTTATGTTAGTCACCATACAGTACTGAGCTGATAATCTCGATCTCATAAATCTTGTAGTCCAAATGAGTGGGAAGGGTAGGGAACAGTGATTGTAGGTGAACATCATCTGTGTCATTAATTCCTAGAAAACTAGTTGAAAACATTACTGTGGTTTAGGATTTCAAAATCAATCAATTTCAAAATAAAAGGAAATTCATCAAAAGTTGACTGGGGCATTTTCAAGTAAAATGGCCCCCAGCGGGAATTAGCCAAAAAGTAGACACAGGCATGATGGTGATATTTCTGCGGCCACGGGAATAGAACATGACCTTATTTTCACTACTACATGTGACGTTGAATCAGCTGCTCTTGGAAACACAAGATCCCTCCTGTGATTTTGAATCCCTACATTAAACCTGCTGCCTAATACTGTGCTAAGCCGTGTTGCAAGATTGGGGTCTTGCTTGGCGTTATTAATTTGAAAACAAAAATGGTAGAGTTCAAAGCCCATGTTTCATCATTCTGATTTAGCCCATTACCATTAAAGTTCTTTGACAGTCATTATTTATTTAGCAGTTTGTACTTCCAGAGTGCTTTACCGCTGTTAATTACCTAACAGAGACAACAGTAAGAGCATCCTGATTTTTATAGATGGAGGAACGAAGCTAGCTAAGCTGTGAAGGTGTGCCTAAGGTCAGTTTCCTTGTCCTCAACATCTTTGTTGGTTAACTCATCAGACCCCACAGCTTTCCAATTCTTAAAAAGAATGAGAAGCAGCAACATTTAGCATATATTGAACATTTTTTAGTGTATATTAACATTATAGAAATACTGTTTTTATAGCAAAGAGATGTAAGGCAGCTCACATCAGCTCTTATTCTCCAGAGTGCTTTCTTACCCTGTAGCAGTGAAATCAGCATTAGAGAGCAGATCAGAAAATAGATTGTCTATTTTTTTCCAGACCTGACACACTAAAAAAAAAAAAAAAATTTTTTTTTTTTTTTTTTTATAAACAGTTGGATGCATATTATCTACCTGGAATTCATGGTCAAAATCATGTGTTTGATCAAAAAAGTAAAATCCCACTTTGTTTCTTTGTTCTTATTTGAATTTTGGGGGTTTTGGGTTTTGTTCTGTTTGGGGCCTTCCTGAGTATTATTTTTCAAGTCACAATGAGCTTAGTGGCAGTTATTTCTCATTGTTTCACAGTTTTATATATATAGTGTTTTCTGTCCTCCATCCTGGGAATAAATGCTGGAGATGTGCCATGGTCACTTTGTGGCTGTTAAATTATTTATATGATGATGGTGATTCTGATTATAGACCATTTATTTACTTGACACTGTAAATGTAGAAAGTACTTCATAACAATTTATTAGTTATTTTTATGCATTAAATTGATTTCAAGTATTTTTCAGCACATGGCTAATTGACCACTTTTAGGTAATTAAAATGATCATTTTTAATCTACTAGTTGACTTCTCTTGAAACCAGTTAAGTATCTGTAAAAGAGCTGATGTCGAAGAGTGGGCAGTGAACGAAATATATGCGATTGAGGCGGTATTATTTTAGACGCTTATTTGAGAAGAATTGCAGGCTCCCACAGACCGCTGATGGTTAGCAAGTGCAATTTATGATGATGGGATTTTTGTGTTTTAGAGAGGACATTGTAATGCTTTCTCTCTCGTGTTAATACTCTGCTCAAGGTGATAATATCTACAGTTATAAGCATTAGCCAGCCATGTAGTGTGAGTTGCTCTCCGTGGTAATGCCTCCAACATTGCAGCTCTGTGCTCACGCGTCTTCAGCCCCACACGCCACGTCACTTTACGTGCCTTCCAGATCATTGTCTCCCGGGATAGGGTGGGGGTCTTCCACCCGTCCTCAGGGTGCCCCACGCCCTTCCACCTGTCCTCCCCATGCTTCCGTTCCCTTCCTAAGAGGGCTTACATCTTTGCCTTCCTTGGCTTCTCTTACCCCGTTATTATTAATATTTTCCTCCTGTTCAGAAGAGAGATGTGATAAGCTCCATATTCCTGAGTATATTACTTTTAGTCTTTTGGCTGAGGCAGAAATTTCTTTTATGCCATAAAAGGGACGGCAACCAGCAGGCTTCATTTCTGCAAAGTTATTTAACTCTTTTAAGGGATGCCACTACAGAAATTTTTGAAGAGAGCTCCGGAAGGGGACACCAAAACCCGGTTTTGCCATTGGGAGTGCTGTTACACGTGGAAACGGGCAGGGGACTCTAGGCTGGCGTTCTTGTGCTTTGAGTGTAGGGAGGGAGGGAGGCCCTGTAGGAGTTCTTACCCACTGCTTTCAGTTCTGTTTGTTCTAAAAACAAACATGCAGAGGACCAAAAAACAAAGATGACCCAGGATCTTCAGGTCTGTGGAGAAGTATCAGAATCTTTTTTAAAAGATTTATTCATTTATTTGTTTGAGAGTGGGAGGGAAAGAGAATGAGCAGGAGGGGCAGAGGGAGAGGGAGAATCTCAAGCAGACACCCCGCTGAGTGGCGAGCCCATCGCGGGGCTTGATCTCACGACCCTAGGATCACGACCTGAGCTGAAACCAAGAGTCAGCTGCTTAACTGATTGCACCACCCAGGCCCCCCAAGAAGTATCGAAATCTGAAGAACAGAGAGCTTTAGTCAAACCCAAATTAGGCTGTACCAGTGTCTCCTGATCCTTATTTTTTGCTGCTCTCTGAAATGAAATCCAGAGAAAATAAAATCTTTCCACACTCAGTCCCAGAGAAACATATATGTCAGTGTCAGTCTGTGAGTCTGTGCCATGTATAGCTCTGGGCGGTAGCTTTCTAGAGTTCAGCAATCCCCTGCTGTCACTGCGAGCTTCACATCCCACATCGACAGGCACGTTACGTGCAGGGCTCCCTGATTTCCGCCGACGAGAGCTGTCCGGAACAGCCTGCGACTCTCGAAGTCTGAACCTCATGTAGAATTTCAGCGGAGGAATTTAAACACAAGATGCAGTGACAGTTCAAGGATGAGTGTGAGCTCTCCTTCTCCCTTCTTGAGGAATGCGTGCACTTTGGAATGGCCCAGTGACATTTCCTGATTTATCTGATTTTCTCTTGGTTCCTTAGCTGTGGCGAGGTCAGCCTGCCTCTGCTGTTTTCCTGTCTTCCATTTGCTCTAAGTGTTAGGCCAGTGTCCTGAGCCAGGGCACCTGGGTTGTTAGGAGTGACAACCGGAAGGTGCAGACCCTTCATGTCGGGCGCGTGGACTTCCGCATGAGCCTGTTTGCTACTTTTGTGGTTTCCCTGTCCCGGTGCTTCTTATCACTTTTGTGGTTTCTCTGCTTCCTGTTTTCTAGAGAGTAAACCCCCAGCTGCCTGCCTGGGGGGGAGGCATCACCTGGCTGTGCACAGTCAGCGAGGGGTTAGTGGTGGAAATGCTTCTTAGGGAGACTTGGGATCATCCGCCTCTCCTCCATTCCAGCCCAGCATCCTTTGCCTCTCAAAGGCTCCTAGTCTGTCTGCCCCGTGTCGGCACAGGGCCTAGAGGCTGTATTGGCTTGCTTCTTGCCTGCCTTATCCTCTCACGTTGTAGAGATCTAATGAACGAGATAACATGCTAAGTAAGGTTAATGAGGTTTCTCGCTTGAGCCCCTCCATGGCAAAGTTGAGTCCATGAGGCATAGGGATGAGGGCCCAAACCAGGTGGGCATGAAGACTTATTTAATGGAGGGCTTAGGTGGTTCCTGTACCAGATTCCTGGAAAATTCAGTCTGTTTTGGACCAAGTGATTTTACTAGAACTGAGAATGTGCTGACCGTTCCTAGAATGGTCCCAGTTCCACAACAAAGTTTTACGTTTGTGATGAGACAGGCCCCTTTGAGATTCTGATGAAGGCATCCGACACTCAGGAAAATGCACTTGCACACGTATGCAATTTTTGATGCAACTTCAGACCATCCATGGACCCTCTCAAAACCATTCTTGGATGGGCCTCCTTGGAATTCATGGGCCCCAGATTGGAACCCCTGCAGGAGACATTCTCAGGACATATTCATGTTAGTTCCGTATTGTCCATGGTGTGGCTTCTAGCCATGGGTGGCTTCTTTGTTTTAAGTTAAATTACAATTTCAGTT